CTCCATGACTACCTGACGGCATAACACCGGTGCGCCACAGAGTCCTCACCTTGAGACCCCCGGCCTTCCTGAGGGCCCGAAGCCGCCCCCGGCGCCCCAACACAGTACCCAACCTTTTTCTTTCGAGGGCTCTGCGGGGGATGCCGCCAGCAAACGTGTCGTGACCTAGGTTCCTGGCCGTCTGAAACTGCTGCAGCCTGAGCCTGTACGCTCGGGCCTTGACGGCCTTGGCCGCCTCCGTCGACGACGCCAGGTACCCCGACTTCGAAGCCTGGAGCAAGAAGCCGAGCGGGCGGGTATACCTGGCGAAGGCCACCACAGCATTAAACACTACACCTGCATACTTGGCCACTGCCCCTATCCACTGGAACGAAACGTCGTCCATGAGGCCTCGGGGCACCACAAAATCGAATTCCCTCTTGAGTCTCTGGAGGGGCCTAAGCAACAGGACCTGCATTAGAGTGGTGGCATGGCTGCACCCCGCGAGAATCCCCTGGTAGGACCTGTAGGAGCGGCTGAGCGACCCAAACCCGCGGATGCGCCGAGGCTGCTGGTAGTTGCACACCAACATCCAAGCAAGCCGAAGGGGGTATCCCACGGCAGCAGCCTCGGCCATCACAGCCGACAGCAGGACTAATTCATAACATTTAATCATGTCGATTAGCACCGTCACACAGTGTTCACTTATGCTGCGAGCCACTTCGGCCTCCAAATTGTGACTGAAGGCACAATCGAGACTAGAGCGCCCAGGGCCCGAGCCCCACAAGAGCTCGCTACGATGGTTCCCCTCCCACTCCACCGAAACAGGCCTCCGAACCCTCCCCCACACCCGAATCAGTGAGTGAATGAGGGCTATCAGCCTGTGCTCGCCTGGTTTATCAGGCTTGGCGAGGCGCACTAACTCGGTGGCCAAGCGATCGCTCGGCCACATCCCAAGTTTTTCGCACTGCATAAACAGAACGGCGACGGCCTGCAGAGCCTCGTCGCTCAGGTGCCAGAGGCTGCAAGGCGCGAGGCTGCCTGGACCAACAGCAGTCCGGGAGGAAAACTTCCGCACGGCAGCTCGGACTTCGACGTGAGAGATGCACGGCAGCAGCGGCCAGCTAGCAGCCTCAGGCGGCAGCTCCAAGCGCGAGCAGCCATGGGTGGCCCAGATGCCGGACCAGAAGTCGAGGCAGCTATCGGCCCGCTCATGAGGCTGAACACCGGCGGCCTCAGCCTCCGCAGGCTGCAGCGCCTGCACCTTGGAGAAGCGATGGGCCTTGGACGCGCCCTGCACAAAGCTCGCCTCGACCCAAGCATTCCACGACTTGGCACGCACCGCCGCAAAGTCGGCCAACTTGCTCTCGCCCTGATGGACGAGCCAGTCCACCATGTCGTGGAAGTAGGCGTCCGCGAAAACCAGCAGCCCCTGCTGGAAGAATGGCAGGACACAGGCATCGACCTCCGCGAAGACCCACTTCTGCTTGAGCACCCGCTTGACGAAGGCCTCCGTATCGTAGAGCAGGATCCCGATCTTGGAGGTCTCCGCCGCCGTGGCGCCCCCAGCAGCCCGCGCCTCCATCAGCTGAGGGATCCTGGAGCTGAGGCTCTCACTGACCCGTCGCAGGTGCCTGGCCCAGCCCGCCGCCACAGCCCACGCATCGGTGGCCGTGCCCCTCTCAGGAGGTCGGCGTCGCGGCGGCTGCCAGGCGAACTTCTGCCAACGCGTTCGCAGCGGCCCCGCTCGCCCAACTTGGCCAGCACAGGCCTCGCCCACCAGGTCGAAGCGGCCGCACAGCTCCTGCTCGATGCCTTGCAGCACGTCGTCCCAGCACTGAGCCACCGCACCCTCGCAGGAGGCGCGCTCGGTCGCCTCCTGGACCGCAGCCCAGATCCCCACCGGAGGTCGACTGCAGCCGGGCGGCGCCACCGCCGCGAAGGCCTTGGGCTCCCACGGCACCCTGCACCACAGCGGCCTATCATGGGCCAGGAGCGGCAGCAGCACAGGCTTGTGAGGGTACGTATCGGCCGCCTCCACCACCTCGGGCAGCCGGACGCGGCTCAGAAGGCGATGGTCCACCCCGAAGTAGTCGAGCTTCGTGCCTGGCATCTTCTGCCTGCACGTCGATGCCGCCGAGCTGAGCAGCACAGCGCCCACCGAGTTGAACCACGGGGCCAGCAGCTCGGGGGACATGTTGAAGTCCCCGCCCACAACCCAGCAGTAGCCACGGCTGGCGACGTCCAGGAGGAGGAGGAGGAGGAGGAGGAGGAGGAGGAGGTGGTGAGAGGAGGAGGAGGAGGAGGAGGAGGAGGAGGAGGAGGAGGAGGGGAGGAGGTGGAGGAGGAGGGGAAGGTGGAGGAGGAGGAGGAGGAGGGAGGAGAGGAGGAGGAGAGGAGGGAGGGAGGGAGAGGAGGAGAGGGAGAAGGGAGGGGAGGGAGGAGGGAGGGAGGGAGGAGGACGGGCGCCGTGGCCCGCCCGGCCGTGGGGCTGCTGGGAGCTCCTTTCGCGGCGAGCGTGCGCGGCGCCACGGCGAGAGGCGCGCGGGGAGAACCATCGGCCATGCAGCTGCTGGAAGCTCTCGCAGCGGCCCCCCGTGTCGTCCACCTTAGGGGGGCCTCATGGCGACGGGGACGTTCGGGGGCCCCCAAACGGGGTGGTGACCACACTGTGCGGTGAGGAATTCGAAGTCACCGCACGGCTTTGGGACTCGGGTCGTTCTCCGAGGATGTCTCGGGCGACAGGGGCCTCCGGGGCCCCAAGACCGTGCGGTGACGGACCGTGCGGTGAGGTCTTGGGGGATTTCGAGGTCACCGCACGGTCTGTCAGCGCACCGTTTCGGGACTCCCAAGATGTGCGTGTACCAGCTTCCGGGCACCCCCCGTCCGCAGAGTTGGCGACGACGGAGCCTTCGGAGTGTTTCACGGCGCTCGGCCGCCGTCGCGTCGGCGCCAGCTCTCCTGGCCATGCACCTCTGACGTGCACGGCGTCTTCTCCCTCTCCCTCCCTCTCCCCCTCACTCTCTCGCCGTCCAGCCGCGCAGCTGCTGGACGCCTTGCCAGCCAGCGCGCGCGGCGCCGTGGCGAGGGGCACGCGGTGGAGACCGCCGGCCCCTCCGGCGGTACAGGTGCCGCCTCCGACGCTGCCGCTCTCGCCGGCCCTCCCCCGCTGCACTTCGCGGCGGTGCGGAGGCAGCGGGCGCTCGGCGGCGCTCGGGGGCGCGTGCCAGGCGAGGGGGGCTCGCCTCCGAGGTGGCCGGGGCCTCCCCGGAAGGGGCCAGGCGCGCTCAGAGGCCGTGCGCCCCACGCCTGCTGGGGGGCGGTGGCCCTTCCTTGATGGCCGCCCCCCTCCGCCCACTCGTGCGCGGGCCGCGCCGGCAGGTGAACTCGCAAGGGAGGCCGCCCAGCAAGTGGCGTCACCGTGGTTGGTCTGCTCGCTCCTGCCATCGGAAGCGGACAGGAGAGACTCGGGAGGGGGACAAGACGCGCAGACACAATTTAGCGTCGGCCCCCCGGAAAATGTTGGAAAATACTGGAAGTGGGGGGGAAGACGGACACCCAGAGCATGTGGGGAAATGTTGGGAATCTTGGGATTTGTGTGTATTCGTTTTTGTGTCCCAGGGCCCCTTCAAGGAGAGAACGCCACAATCATTGATCTTGCTTCGGTTTCTGAAGCAGTTCGGCTCCCGGGAAGCGTTCCGTGGGAGGCTCGGAGGCCATTGGGAGCCGTCTCGGGGCCTTTCGGAAGCATGTCGGAATCTATCTTTGATCCTCACGGGGCTATCTTCTGCAATCTTGGTTGCCATACTGGGCTGTCAGGGGCCCTCTTGGGGCCATCTTGTGCCGTCTTGGACGCTCTAACCTTTCGCGGTGCCCTCTCCAGAACTAGGGGGAGAGGGGGTAGCGAGAGACGTAAACCTCTCCCCGAAGGAGCTGGAGGTCAGAAGCACTCGAAACCAACCACGCCAAGAGGACTGGTGGGGTTAGTCTGGTCGCACCCTCATGTTGCTTTCGCGACCGTCACGTCACTTGGCTGGTGTGTGTGTGTGTGTGTGTGTGTGTTTGTGCGTGCGTGCGTGCGTGCGTGCGTGTGCGTGCGTGCGTGTGCGTGCGTGCGTGCGTGCGTGCGTGCGTGCGTGCGTGCGCAGGGAAGGGATCTCTCGCCTTCCCTTGCCGTCGTCTCCCCCTGGTCTTCGTCTTCCTACACGCGTCCTCGCCGGGAAACTTCCCGCCCGCCCCCCTCCTGCCCGCTCGCCGCTGCGCCCTCGCCCGCCCCTGCCTGCGCTCCGCCCCGCTGCCCTCGCCCTCTGTCCCCCCCCGCCTGCCTCCCGCCCTCTCTGCCCCTGCTCCTGCCTCCGCCCCTGCGGGCACCTCGCCCCCTCCTCGCTCGCCGTCCTCTCGTCGGCCGCTCGGAGGGGGAGCAGCAGGAGGAGGAGGAGGAGGAGGAGGAGGAGGAGGAGGAGGAGGAGGAGGAGGAGGAGGAGGAGGAGGAGGAGGAGGAGGAGGTCGCCGCCCCCGCTGCCGTCTCTCCGGGTCCGTCTCTCCTCTTCGCCCTCGTCGCCTGGTCTGCACGCCTCGCCCGCTGAGACCGCTGTGGGTTGCTGCGCGCACGCGCGGCTGCCAGCCCGAGATCGCGTGCTTGCGCCGCCGTGCCTCCGGCTGCTGCGGAGTTCGAGGAGTGCTCTGACCACTGGCATGCGATGGATCGATCTCCACCGATCGATCCTGGCTTCGATCGGTCTCCAAGCGGTGGCCGTATCTCCTCGATTTGTACGGATAGGGACGGTCCTTGAATTCCTGCCATCAAGTACTGCATGTCCTCAGGTTCGGTGGAGAGCGAGGGGGGGAAGTGAGAAGGAGAAAGCCTCCTCAGAAGGCGGGGCTTCTCAGAAGCCCTCGCGCCTTCTGAGAGGCTTCCTGTGTCTTCGGGGAAGCCCCCGAAAGCTTCCCCGAAGGCCGGGGGACTTCCGAGCCTCCCGAGAAGGCCCGCCCTTCTTCGCTCCCCCCCCCCCGGGCTCGCCGCCGACAGGCACCCTGGAGTTCCTGTTCGACCGGCTGGCCGACACCAGCGGGGCGGTGCAGGTCTCGGCCGTGGCGCTGCTGGCGCAGAGCTGGGCGAGCGAGCCCGTGCTCTTCCGGTGCTTCAGGCGGGCGGCGCCCGCCGCCCGCCGCCGCCGCCGCTGCCGCCGCAGCCGGTCTGGACAGGCGCCGTCGCGAAACATCGAGACGGCTGGTTTGTGATCGTTTCCTTATCCATCGTTCTACCGATCGGCGCGGGCCCCCGCGCCCCGCCGATAACTCCCCCCCATGGAGTGGATCTTGGCTGCTTTTTGCGCATGTCTCAGGCAGGTGGAGTCTACGCACTGCCGCAAACACTCGCATCAACCAGAGGTCCGGAGCCAGATCCCGGCCCCCTCCCCCCCTCCCTTCCGCCCAATGTCGAAACGCCGAATAAGGTAGCGCTCACCTGGTCTTCGCCGCCATTTTGGGGCCCGTCGGAGGCTGGTGTAGGGACCCCCATGGACAGTCGAGAAAGCATAACTTGGGACGAGAAGAGTCAGGAGGTGACAAAAACACAGACACGACTACTCGTCGTATCCCCCGGAAAAGATGGGAACACATGGTAATAAGGGGGAGGGGGGACGAAAACCCAGAAGACACGGGAAAATCGGGGGAGTCCTGGGATTCGTGTCCATCTATTTGTGTATCCCTGGGCCCAGCCAGCTTCCGCTCAGTGCAGTTCAGCACCGCCTCTGCCAACGCTGCTCCCCCCCCTGCGCTCCCCCTGCCGCCGCCGGCAGCTCTGAGTGGCCCGGCGTCCTCTCGCCCCGTCGCGCGGGGACGCCTCCTCCTTCCGTGCGTTGCGGCCCTCGTCCTCCTCGTCCTCCTCGTCCTCCTCTTCTTCTTCCTCCTCCTCCTCGTCCTTCTCCTCCTCCTCCTCCTCCTCCTCCTCCTCCTCCTCCTCCTCCTCCTCCTGGGTCTGTGATTCCGCGGGAGCAGTCGACCTCTGCCCAGCCGCCGGCGCAGCAAGCGTGTCCCTGGGCCCCTCTGGAGAAGAGTGCTGGCCCCTGGGGGGGAGGCCCGGTGCACAGTCTTTCGGCGCGGAGCGCCGAGAGTTTATTTTCATGGCGCCCAATCTCGTTCGAACAACGTGAAAGCATGGCCCTCAAAGGCCCTTGAATCCTTACCGCGCATCCCCAATCTACGGTTTGACGTCTGCCTCGTCCCATCCTTCAGGTGTTGCACGAGGTGCCCCTGATCCAAGGTGTGCCCAGGATTTCCCGGGACGTCCAGGTGGCCTTTGGAGCACCCCTCACGAGGCCCAGAGGGCCCCCAGGGGCCTTTCTGCCCCAACTCCTCGTCCTGCTTCCATGTTCTGCTCCTTCCTTGGCTCCCGCTGCCCCCTCGCCGCTAAAGTAAGTACGCTGCTCCTGCTGTTCCTGCTGGTGGTGGTGCTGTTGCTCAGCAAACGAGGCAGAATGAGGCCATCCTGACCACCTAATCCACGGCGACTGCGATATCAAGCAGAACGATGCCTGCGATGCGTGGCAAATTGAGGGTTGTCTGAAGACGGACATGGTGTGAGGCAATGCCGGCGACAACGATTGACGAGATTGATTCTGCTCCATACTGTTCAATAGTGAAGATCGAAGAGGCGAGATTCAAGTGCACGTGGATGGGAATATAGACCACGAGCTGGCAATCCACAGCCCTGCAATCTACTTTCACTGCTGCTGCTGACCCTCCTCCGAGTCGGCTCGCCCTGCCAGTCGGGGCGGAGCGGGCGGACGGAGTGGAGTCGCTTGGCGCACGT